AAGAAGGAGATGCAAAATCTAAGAAGTATTATTTGTAATTTATATATATATATATATATATGATTGAAAAATTATATTATTAAATAATATTTATGTAGATTTATTTATTAAGGGTATAATAAAAATTTCAGTTTAATCTATATATTTTTTTATATATATTTAGGTTAACACCAAGCACTCGTAATAAACAGATCATCAAGAATTTAAGCCTTATTTTTGTGTTTGATCTTAATTGTTTGAACATAATATCAGAGCTGGTTTTATGAAACGAGGTTTAATCTCAAATATAGCTTTTGCGGATCCAACTTTATCTTTTTCTTTTGCAAAATTTGGTATTTTGTCTTCCTTTCAGCTTCTGCAATTTGATATTTTTATTCAGTTTCTGCAATTATTTTGGTATTTCATCTTCCCTTCAGTTTTTTTAATTTGGTATTTGCGTTCAGCTTTTGCTAAATTGTTTTATGCTTTGGCATAATCGTAAATTTTCAAGAAGATATTTTGTTCATTTTCTGCAATCTTTGTTCAGTTTCTACAATTTGATATTTTATTTTTCACTGCTTTTACATTCTGGTTCTCTGCGATTATTGATTATAGCTATTGAAAGAGATTATTTGCTTTAGTTTGTGAGTATGAGGTTGGATGGGAAGAACTATTCATATTGGAGTTATTATAATAAAAAAAATAAAGGTAAAAAGATATGTCAGTGGAACTTATATAGTACCCAAAAATATCGAGGAAAGAGATACAACTTTAATAGATACATAAGAAGCAAACAATGTAAAGATCATTACTTGGATCAACAACTTCATTGAGCATTTCATAGATATGCAGTTGGCAAAGTATGAGACAATAAAGGAGGTTTTGTATCATCTACAAAGATATGCAGTTGGCAAAGTATGAGACAATAAAGGAGGTTTTGTATCATCTACAAAGGTTATTCATATAATCAAAATTTTCAAAGTAGTATCAATTAGAGAATGACGTTCGAGTTCTTTACAAGAAGAATATGAGTATTTAGGAGTTCTATTCTGCCATGACAGATTTTTGGGATCAGTTGGCTCTTACAGAATTGGTATAATTAAAGGTATGCAGTGCTTATATTAAGCGTAAAGAGCAACAATGATTGGTACAATTTTTAACAGCACTTCACAGTGATTACAAAGGACTTAGAGGTTCAATACTACATCGTTCTCCATTTCCTTCTGTTGACTTGATTGTCAGTAAATTATTGGTTGGAGAAATACATCTTCAATCATATTCTAAAAAGGATATTTTTTCTGCTTCGAATTTTTCTATACTAGCAGTATCTTTTAAGCAAGTCTCCAATCACCACCAAAAGCCTTACACAAGGATTGGCTTCAAAGTGTGCATTTTCTGTAAGTAGAAAGGTCATTGAACAACTCAGTGTTCTAAGTTGAGATAGTATAATCAAACTTGAAAACTTGACAGCAAATCATAATCTAATGCTCAGAAATGATCTTAGGGTTATAAACCACCACACCACAATACTGCAATAGTAACTTCTTCATGCTTTATTAACAATCCTAGTATTTTGCTTGAGCAATTCCAAAAGTTTATCTCCTTGCAACCATAAACAAAACCCGCTTCTTCTTTCATAAGTCAGTTGCCTCATAATTTCTTAGATATGTCACATTCTGAATGAGTTTTAGATTCTGGTACTTCAAATTATATGTCTTCAGATTCTTCATCTTTTACATTTGTTTTCTCTTTGCCTTCCATTCCTATTATGATTGCTGATGACACTCACAAGTCCTTAGCTGGTGTTGCTTCTATCATCACATCTCACTTGTCTCTTTATAATGTCTATCTTATTTCAAATCTCAAATTGATTCTTGTTCCTACCGGTCAAATATGTGGTTCTAGTGATTATTTAGTCATTTTTTCCTCTTTTTTTGTTATATATAGGATTTGCAATCTCAAAAGTTGATTGAGACAAGTCGTAGAGAGAATGGACTATACATTTTAGATGTGTTAAAAGTCTCAGTTCCCGTTGTTGCCAGTACTACTGTTGATTTACCTTCTTTTCGTTTAAGTCCTTCATCTTTTAGTTTTTATTTATGGCATTCTCATCTAGGACATGTTTCATCTTCTTTTTTAAGATTTTTAGCATCCATATAAGCTTTAGAAAATTTAAAAACTTGTGACATTTCTAATTGTAGTGGATATAAACTGGTAAAATTTTTTGTTTTACCTTTTAATCGAAGTATTTTTGTTTCTTCCTTACCGTTTAACTTGATTCATTCTGATGTATAGGGACCTTCTCTTATTACCACAAAAGAAGGGTCTTGATATTATGTTTCTTTTATTCATGATCATACTCGTTACTATTGGGTTTATTTAATGAAATATCGTTCTGAATTCTTTGAGATATATGCAGCTTTTTGAACTCTTATCAAAACTCAACATTCTATTGTGATCAAATGTTTTAGGTGTGATTTGGGTGGGGAATGCACTTCTAGTAAATTTCATCAATTGCTTGCCTTTGATGGAATCATCCACCAAACTTCATGTACAGATAATCCTGAGCAAAATGATATTGTTAAAAGAAGACATAGACATATTGTAGAAACTGCTCGTTGTCTCTTATTGTCTGCTTTTGTTCCTAGTGAGTTTTGGGGAGAAGTTGTTCTTACTACTGTAAGTTCAATTAATACAATTCCATCTTCTCACAGTTCGGGTTTATATTTTTTTAAAAAATTATATGGTTATGTCTCTGATTATTCTTTATTTAGAGTTTTTAATTATACTTATTTTATTCTTCGTCCTTATGTAAAATGTAGTAAGTTATCCTTTTAATTCGTTATTCATGTCTTTCTAAGTTATGACGAAGGTAAAATGGGGTATCATTATTTTGATTTAATAACTTAAAAACTTTATATGTCTCGTCATTTTATTTTTCTTGAGCATGTACCTTTCTTTTCTATTCCATGCATTACTCATAGCATGACTAAACCTGATCTTATTATTATAGACCCCTTTTCTAAGGATTCTGATAATAATACCTCTCTCCATATTCTATCAATTTGAACTTATAACTCTATAGATACTGATATTTTATTCTCTAGCACAACTGAAGTTCCATTGTCATTTACCGCCACTCAAGCTTCATCTGAGATTATAGATTCACCTTTAAATCAGTCCATTCATATTCGTAAGTCCATGAAACTACTAGATTTTGCTTATTCTTATTATTCTTCATCATTTACTTTCTTTTAACTTCTATTCATTATCTTTTTGAGCCTTTTTCTTATAAAAAGACAATTCATGAACCTTTTTGGCAGCAAATTATAGATGAAAAACTTTCTATTTTGCATAAGACAGATACTTAGGATCTGGTTCCTCTACCTCCTAGTAAGAGTGTTGTTGGTTGTCGTTGGGTGTATAAGATTAAGACTAATTTTGATGGTCTATTGAGTGATACAAAGCTAGGCTGGTTGCAAAAGGATACTCTCAACAATATGGTATGGACCATGAGGACACATTTTTTCATGTTGCGAAAATGACTACTATTCATAATCTTATTATCGTAGTTTCGATTCATCAGTGATATATTTCTCAACTTGATGTTAAAAATGTATTATTGAATGAAGATCTTTAAGAAGAAGTTTATATGACACCCCCTTCTAGTATTTTATATCACTCTGAATATGTTTGTAAGCTTAAAAAAGCATTATAACCTTGTGCTTCGTTTGAGAGATTTTTTATTGTGATCTCATCTCTTGACTTTGTTTCTAGTAGTTATGATTCTGTTCTTTTTATTAAGTATATTGATGTCGACCGTATCATTTTGTCTTTATATGTTGATGACATAATTATTATTGGTGATGACATTGATGATATTTTAGTTTTGAAGAGAGAGCTAGCTAGATGATTTGAAATAGAGGATTTAGGTTATCTTCGATATTTTATGGGTATTAAGGTATCATACTCACCTTGAGGTTATCTTTTTTCTTAATCAAAATATATTGCAGATATTCTTGAGCGAGCTAAACTTACTAATAACAAGATTGTAGATAGTCCTATTAAGGTTAACGCAAGGTACCCTTCTTATGATGGTTTACTTCTGATAGATCCTACTTTATTCCGTACTAGTATTGGGAGCTTGGTATATCTTACCATTGCTCATCAAAATATAACATATGATGTTTATATTGTTAGTCAGTTTGTTGCTTCTCCTACTACTGTTCACTAGGCAGTTGTTTTTTGTATTTTGCGATATCTTCATGGTATAATTTTAGAGTGTTTTACTTTCATCCACCTCTTTTTGGATCTGCATGCATAATCTGATGCTGATCATAGTAGTGATCCTACCGATCACAAATCTATTATCGGGTCTTGTATCTTTTTAAGTGTATTTTTTATTTCTTGAAAGAGCAAGAAACAACCTATTGTTCAAGAAACAATCTATTGTTTCTCAATTATTTACTGAAGTAGAATATCATGTCATGATATTTATTATGAAAAGAGATTGTTTAGTTACGTTGGTTACTTGCTGATATGAAAGTTTTCTTTTTTCATCTTACTCTTTTATATTGTAACAATCAAAGTTCTATTCAGATTGCACACAATTCAATTTTTCATAAACAAATAACGTATATTAAAATTGATTATTATCTTACTCGTCTTTATTTCAAGCATGACTATATTATTTTGTTTTTTATTTCTTATTCCTTGCAGATAACAGATATTTTTACTAAGATGTATTATATCTATCATTTTTATTTTGTATTTGATAAACTCTCGATACTTATAATTATCTTTTATAAATTTGAAAGACGATTTTAAATAATATTTATGTAAAATTATTTATTAAAAGTAGAATTAATTTTTCAAGTAAACCGGCATATACTTTTTATATATATTTTTATGTATTTAAGTTACCACTAGGTACAAAATAGATGATTGAAAATTTAACCTTTTGTTTTATGTTTTACCTTAACTGTTTTAACAGATCTTACATATCTCGCTACAGAAGTTACATTGATTCAAGTATCCATGTTAACATCTATGGCTTGAATAATACATAAAATAGAAACTACAAAAGGGTTCCACCCGAGACGTACTCGGTGCAGGCCAACGCAACCAAACCCAACATGGCAAATCTACCGTTCCACATCTCAGCATCAGATGTCATGACGCCCTCTGACTTGGATTCCGCTCTGACCCCTTTGAATAGTGGGATCAAAGACGCGACAGAGAGCAGAATACTTGTTCCGACGAACCACGAGACTCCACCGTTAGATATCTGAGAAAAAAGGTCTTGGCCCTTGGACAGTTCCACTGCCATTGCAGCGACAAAGCCTATCATGGCAAGTCTGCCATTGATCCTCTCTGGTGCGGGTCCGCTAAATGCCAACAAATCAGCGAATTTTGTGCTGACCTGTTAATCATCATCATGCGTGCGTTTACATTAGAACGTATATATAAATGCAATCACAAAGTCCATGCTCAACTTAAATTGTTAAAATTAAACATTTCCGAAATAATTCATGTCGTATAATTAATCCTGTACCTTTGGCTTAGGAGTAGAACTTGGCTCTGCTGACATCTTCTGGTCATCCTGCAAATTGAATCAATTGTTAACACTATCCTAAGAACCATTACCTAATTTATATACAAAGGAAGTCAAGATGGATTCCAAATTACTCACCAGCTCGGCCTTGCACTGCACCCGTTTGCTAGCACTGCCACGTAGCGGCACATACGTAGCAGAAAAAAAGTTGCTCACTCGAGACCGGTTTTTCACCAGACTACTAGCCGCTGGAGTTGCGAGGACGGTCTGCATGACTGTTGATGTGGCCATCACTTAGAACAATGTTTATCACTCGATCTGTGATTAAGAAACTTAATAAATATCTAAACTGTGAAAGCTATTCTAATGCTAGAGGCAACGCTCAGCAAGAGATATCACTACGAGTGAGTTGAAGATGGAATAACTAGCTTTGTAATGATAAATAATTAATGTATCTGACAGTGGTTTGGTAGGCTGCTATATAGCCGATGGGGCAAGAGAGGAGAGGGCATTTTGCTTCCACGTCATCTATATCTAATGAAAAGGCTGATTGGATCACGTGGCTTCGGCTGTCTTCACATGGTCAAGTGGGTTACGTGGCCTCCCCACAGTCACTAGTGGATCCCCACCCCATTTAAGAATCTGCGGCCAATGTTGTTCTAGGTTTTTCAGCTGAGCAGCGACCACGGCATAGTAACCGTACTGGACTCAGCCACGATTTAACCGCATTAATTTGACACGTTCAATCACATAACCTGACAAACCAATATCAATAGTAATAAAAAAAAAACTTATGATGTTTGCTAGGTATTTCAGTAGGCACATGTCAGGACCCAACTCCTGCCATTTTGATCTAGAAAAGTCATCTCACAAGGGACCAGTTAAAAGCGCGGTTGATCGGTGAGGACATTCAATGTCCGCATCCAGCGCGTGTGCCTGGGAACGAAAGGGAACAATCAAGGCATGTCATCGATGGGCTGGCACCGATAAGGGACAGCGTATATGATGAACTCGCTCGGTTCGATATTTGCGCGTGAGGGCTGAATTCGTATTCAAGAAATGATCATCTCATATTGAATCAGCCGGAAGGCAAGGGAGTGGACTCTACTCTTTAGCTAGGAAGCGGGCGTGAGATCGTCACTTCTCTTCCTGAAGATGGACAGGGGTTAAAGTATGTGAATTATTTTGCTGTCTTAATATTGTTGGTTTGATTGATATAAATTTTGAAATTATTATAGATTTATTTAATTATTAATTTTAAAAAATTAAAAAATTAATTAAAATATATTTAAACTAGTTCAGATATTCACAATTACTAAGATAAAAAATTTATAATGCTTATGATTGTTTTTTTATGTTATAAATACTCCATAATTAAAATTTTCAGTTTTATAAAATTTTAAACAAAAGTAAGTATGTGATTTATAGAACAATACAAATATTTTATGTAAAAGCATTTTTTAAAGAGAAAATTATCTTCAGTATTGTATAGTTTACTTAATTTTATATTTTGCTTTTATTATTTTAAGAATTACTAAAATTATTCTTAATTAACCAAATATTTTAAATCAATTGAAATGATCAAATTAACCTTTATGTGTTGTAATTACTTAAAAATTTGTTGCTTGTTATGTGCTATTATTTACAATGGTAAAAAGATGTCATAGATCAAGACATGGTTAAAGATAAGATAAAAAGAAGCCTTCTTGAAAGAGAAATATCAAGAAGTTCATCACGAAGAACATTCAAAGATAGATCACAAAGTTAACTCATAGGTTAGAGAATAAGGATTTATAAAACAAAAATTAAAAGAGTAATCATGGGTTCTAGCCAATACTAAAAACTAATGGCATGATCATAAAATGTAACCTCTTAATTAGAAAAGGAATAAATTTAAAAAAAAATTATTTTACATTAAAATCCTTGAATTCTCGAAAACCTCACAAGTAAAGGATTTCATAAAACAAATGAATAGAGTAAAATAATTTTTTTAATATAAAGAGTTCCTCAAATAGATGTGAGGGATGTTGATTGTGATTAGATTAAAAGGTAGAGTTTTTGCTTAGCGAGAATAGTTAAAAAGGGAAACGAGAGAGGCAAGAAAAGTAGAAAATAGGGATTTAGAAAAAATGAAAAAGAAACTAAAAGAACACTTCCTTCCATTTGGCCATGCCCAAAACTTGTACCAAAGGTTTCCCATGTTAAAACAAATAGATATCAAGTCATAGTTTCGGTTTAGTTTCCAGGATTTGTTGTTATTGTCATAGTGTGTTAAGACATCAAGCTAATGAGAATGCATTAATAAACCATAAAATTATGTAGAAAAAAGTTATGTTGACAAAGGAAGCTACAAATAATATGGCTAATCTTATTTAAAGTATGTTTGGTATTATGGTAATTGTTGTGGTTATGATTTGAAAAAAATTATTTTATAAAAAAACATTTTTAGTTAAAATTGGTCTGGAAAAATATATGTTTGGTTAAAACTACAAATGAAATTGAGGTTGAATAAAAAATAATTTAATATATTTGGTTAAAAATACTTTTTAAATTGAATATATATATATATATGGTTTTAAATTTAAATATTATAGATTTAACTACTACTATTACATCATGAAATAGATAATAATTTATATAAAATATTTTTTTTATTCCATTAAACTATCTACAATTTCATTACGTAAAAAATCACCTGACAAGAACTATAATTTTCATGATTTTTTTAGCGTGAATAAAATTAGATACAATATTATCATTAATAAAATTAAGATTACAATGCGAGAAAATTTAATTCACTCTAAACTAGTTTTTTTTTTTAATTATTGTTCATGTTCACATGAACAGTATGAGTGAAATCAATTCACTACACTGTTTTTTCAAAAAACAAATGCATTGTTCACTTTAATGAACAGTGCAAGGAAGAAAAACAGTTGAGAGCTACTTCATTTTTACTGCGTTTTAAATGCAAAATTCAATGGATCCCATAAAAAATAAATTGTGTTTTTGTGTTTACCAAATAGATGCTTTACTGTGGTTGCTTCAAACGCAGAAGCAATCATGCAAATAAACAAAATGACTCTAACAACAGTGAAAAGACTTTAAATAGGAATAGTAATATTACACTAGTTATCTAAAAAATCATGTGTCACCCAATAATGATTAAGGATAGAATTGGTTGTATTCTAAAATCTTCAAAATAACGTGTACTGTTAACAACAAGATATATAATCTAATCATTATTAGTGGTAATTACGAGAATATAGTGTTAGTTCAAGTGGTAAAAAAAATTACAGCTTAACTTAAAAAAACTCTTCATCCATTAAAAACTAAAGTGCTTGAATGAAAACAACAAGGTAATAATAGAAAAAGGCTATTTTATTTTGTTTTCCATAAGCTAGATTATATATTTTAATAATGTTTGGTATGACATGGTGGCTATAGATGTGTATCATATATTTTTAGACAAACTATAACAACATGAAAGAAATGTCATGTATGATGGAAGTTGTATACAAATACCCTTGCTATAACAAGTATACAAATACCCTTATTATATAACAAGGAAACATGTAACAATCCCATAAAGAGGAGGTCATTGTTGAAGATAAAAATAAAAATAATTTTTTTATATATATACTTATAGAGAATAAGAATAAAAAAAAAAGAATGTGAAGTAGGTGAAGAGGGCAAAGGTCTACTATGGAATAAGTTACTTACAATGAGTGGTGGTTTTGTCAAGATAAAGTATAGTGTTTTGAAAATTATTTTTTTCCTTACTTTATCTAAGTTGATTGCATGACACAAGTCTAAAAATGATGGATGATAGTGATATGGTTATTACCAAACTCAAGGATGAGTTTTTCCGGACTCAGAGAGAATGATATAGGTAGATTTGCAAAGATCAGGGTTCAAAGCAATTATATAAAGATTTTTATAAAACAAATTATATGCATGACTTAATATATTTTTTCATGAATTAATAGGACAAGTCTCGGTCCAAAAAAGACTTGTTCAAAAAAGACTTGTTCAGGCCAGACTAAGATAATAGCTTAAAATTATAATTATAGAAGATCTTACCGTTGTATTGGATTCAAATTTTATAAGAGATTCTTCGTGCTATTCTTTTTATAAAATCTAATACATTACTTACTAGACCATTAAATATCCCAATATTAGGTCTAAAAAGTGTTGTTTGGATTATTTTTATTTTTACTAGATATTTTTGGATTTTGTGTTAATCTCCTTTACATGTTAGGATTTTAATTTTAATTTTCTAGTTTAGGTCATTTTTTTAACCTATAAAAAAGCATTATAAATCTCTTTAGAAAGCATACTTGGTTAAATTATTATTTCACAAATAAAATAAGTTTCAACCCTAATTGAGTCTCTCTTCATGTGTTTGTTATTGTTTTAGTGTGCTTTTATCTACATCACTAGGTTAGATATTTTGTTTGCTTAACTTTATTAAAATCTACTAAATTGAGTAAAATATACAAAAAAAC